TAGTGGGGATTCTTTCTTCGTGTACCAGGATGAAGTCATGAGGGAGACGGCGGGGATGAAGGGGCCTTCGGTGACCCCAACGAGGAATCGGCAGAGACAGAAGCCCCAGGCAGAGGTGAGGGCCGGCATACAGATTGTCACGGCGGACCAGGAGAGCATAATGCAGGGGAAGATTATGCTTGGTTTGCCCTTGGCGATAAAGACGCTTGCTGGGACTTGGGATATGATGTAGCCCACGTAGAAGAGGGAGATGCCGGCGGACCATTCGGTGTCGGACATGTGGAGGTCCTCTTGCATGCCAGCTAGACGGGCGTTGGATACGTTGATTCTGTCGAGGTAGCTATGGGGATGTTAATGCTTGAGATTAATAGTAGCAGTTATAGCAAGCTCACCTCATAAGGAGCATCATTGTCACACATGGCAGAAAGTAGTAGTCCAGCTTCTTGAGGACAGCTTTGTCTAGAACTTCGAGTTCAGCAGGCGTCTTTTCCCGCAGAAGAGGAAACTGAGCCAGCGGGTGTTCTGGATATGAGACATCCTCAAGGTTCTCCATGATAATTTTGGAGTCCCTGTCATCCAGAGGATATTCGTCGTGTTTCGTCGCCATGCCTCAATGAAAATGTATAGTGGAGTATGGAAAAATGCATCTGTTACTGTCCATGCTATCTGCGCTTTTATGGGGCTATATGGCCCACCTATCTTCCCCGGATTTACATTCTGGGGTTCTTGATCCCCCATGGGGACTCCGCGGCGCAACGGACATCTCCGACTTGGCAGGAAATATCGGACAGTATCCGTACGCAGCATGGATTGCGGCATGGTGTGCACGATAGGCTCTCATCGCTTCTGAAGGGGAGGGTCTAAGCGGTGGAAAGTAATTGATGGATTAAGTTTATACGAGAAATTATGAGGGATCAATCACTATACTCCTACCACCTGACCCATCGCTTATGCTGCCAGGCTAGCAATCCGCTATTTCTCCGCCGGCATCCAATGCACCGAGATTGGCTCATGCTTGCTCCGGATTCTTTCTCCCCTAGACCACAACTGGAACGTGAGATCTGCGGGTCCAACAACCACCCTCACCTCGAAGGATGTCCGCCAGAAAGCAGGCTTTGAGCTGTACCAATGGCGATTCTTCAATTTCTTATCCACGTTGTCGGTTGCAATGTCGAGGTTGCAAACTGTTTGCCATCCTTCATGGCATAGGCTGCGTGGGAGCCTCGCCGGTAACTCGGTCGACATGACAATCTCAACGTTGTGGATTCCGGCTTCCAAACCGACGTCGGTCCTCAGATGGAACTCTTTTGTTACCCCGGTAGGTGGAATTGGACGCCCCTAATTGCGGTTATGGTGTAAGCTTCGCAAAGTGAGAGGTGAGGGTATCCGAACCTTGACCACGAGCCAGTCAATCTGATTAAGGGCATACAGACGTTTATCGCGAACGTCCATCTCGACTCGCTCTCCAACGTGAATGTCGCGGTTGTAAACCTTGTGACATATAATGCCGTAGCTCACTGGTGCGCATCGGAAACCAAATGTTAGGATGCCGCGCTTCAGCTGTTGAATGCGGTCCATTACTAAGCCGTGGACAACAACTAGTTGCCTGGAAATCGTAGTTCGTAAGTATTATCACGAGGTATTGGCGAAGATAAGAAGTCAACGTACGGTTCATCAGCCATGAGCACTTGCATCTCTCCAGTTTGAGTAGCCTTTCTCGAACTATTGTATCTCTCCTGGAGGCGTTGTCTCACATACGGGGAGCTACCCAGCCCGCCGGACAGCACCAGGTATTTCTGTAAACATGTTAGCTGGATGCGTTAAATGTGTACTGCATTGCCAAACACACAATATTGTCATTAGAGCCTTGGGCTTGCAGTTGCTGAATATGTGCGTCTATAAGCTGGAACATACCTTCCACTTTCGAGTCGAAGCTGTTTTGAATATCTTCCCTTTCAGGTGTCAGCGTTCGCCATAGTGAGATCTTCACCCAGCCTTACCAAGCAATCTGCATCTGTCCATTGAATATTCCAGCCTCAGGGAAGTCAAGGTTAGGATCTAATCCCGGGACATCCAGCTTGAGCCAAGGGGTGACCGTGGCTTCGGTTCCGAAAGCACATTTGTATCGCTGGAATCGTCCAAATGTCATTCTCCACGCCGTTGTATTAGGAGATGATTTCAAGTGCTGTTGGATAGTTTCAAGTCGCTTGCACATCAGACGATGTATTTCTCTGTCAATAAAAACCGAGCCGATAGGGTGTCCTGGTAGATTGTTAACTAAGGACGACATGACAACAACCTAGATAGCTACCTTCGACATGACCAAGCTGAGCCAATTGCGTAGGCTCACCCTGCGCTGAGAGAAGCTTGAGGACATTTACATCCTACCATCAATGTTGGTTACAACATTCTACGGGCGAGGTAGCAGTTAAGGGGCTAGTTACTGTCGTTCCTCCTCCTGAGTCGCATACCAAAATGGTATCATCGCGCTGTACTGAATGTCAGCTCAGTGCCTTACACTTGACCTCTAGGAAAGGAATGATAACTGACTCCGTAGTGCTCGTTGCCAGCGTAGACAGCCGCAGCTTCTGCTTCCGTGAGGCCGATGCAAGCACGGTGGTTTGGATTCCGCGCGTCAATGACCTGCATTAACAGTCTCCGAATTTCTTCTACCATGCGCACATCCTTCCACGTAGTTGGAACACTGAAAATGAACTCGACACGCTGCATGACAAACTGTGGTATCGTGGTTTCAAAGTAGGACACCACATGCCGATAGATGCACTGAACGTAGTCCTGGAACCATTTCTGGGCTTCTGTCAGGCTTGGGCCCCCATCTCGCGCGTACTGAGGCGCCAAATGAAGCTTGAAGAACTCCTTGGTTTCTGCTTCGGAATCATCGATGTCACATTGGAAACCCCAGTGGCTGACTGACTTGGAGTCAGAGCTATAAGTAATGCAGGTAGGAACCTTATTGGCCAGCTCGCCAGGTAGCTTTCCCGGCCATCGCTGGATGGTTTTGGGAGGTGGCCATTCTGGTCCGTATGAGTATGCGACACCTGATCAGCAGTAAGCTTTTATGTCAAGAAACTCACGTCAAATAGCCTACAGCGGATCTACATACCTGTGTGTGTCATGCCAAAATCGACACCAACTACGATGTTCGGGTGCCATTCCTCATTGTGAAGTGCGCTTTTTGTTGGTGGACCAAGGGCTTCTTTGTCGCTCATATTGTGATGCTGGGAAGTGGAAGTGTCGACAGAGGCGCGTGCGAGACAGAAGCTGGCTCTCCAAGCCCCTCAACTGGAACCCCTGTCCGACTCCAGTGAATGCAACTAAATTGCCCCCCACTCCACTTAGACAAGGCTGCGAGAAGCGCGTCCTCTTAATCCTGGAAAGTCTGGTACCGGGGTGCATAGCGCAAAATTTAGCGTCAGTTCTTATCACCGTCTTTTTCCCTCATTAAACGTATTACATTATGAGATTCGTAATAATTATACAGTAACAATAGTAGCCATTTAGTGTGTTTGAAAAAAAATTTCTCAACAATCTAGGTTAGACACATGAGGAATTTTTTTTTCGGGCTGAAATGGCGATGTTCTGCGGCATTGCTACCTCAAAATCGTTTTTGCCCGATAGCCGCTAACAACCCGTAATCTGTATACCCCTGTCTGCAATGCCCAGTTGAATTAGTTCGCCTGGGGCGGAGAAGTGCATTAATAAAACGGGCTTTGGAGTACTGTCCAGGTCTTTGATTTTTTACTCCCATTTTGTCATTTTGTCATCCGCCCTCTCCCACAATGGAAGCCTTGATTCAAGCTCGCCAAGAGCAATATGGTTCAACATCGGTGCCCTTGTATGGCACTACGACAAGCGCAACTTCCCCGACTCTAACTACACCGAGCTCTTCTTCAGCAGTATCCCCTCAAGCCACGTCGGCAGGCGTGATACGTTCCTCCTCTTCTAGCACCCCTACCAGTACCTCATCGAGCCTGCCATCGCACAGCAACGGAGTCAGCAAAGGCGCTCTGGCAGGGGCGATCGTTGGATCGATTGCCGGGACTGCTCTTCTTGCTATAATTGGGGCTGCACTCTTCTTTCGAAGAAAGAAAGGCACATCTCATTCTAGCAGCTCTGGTGACTCCGATCGGGATGGCGTGGAGTTGGTGAAACCGCGAGCCAGAGTTCAAGCCCTATCGAGTCACTCTCCCCTTTCTCCGACAGGCGGCCGAAATTCGCTCCTCGATTTGATCCCTTTTATTCCCCAGCCGGCCGACGACCAAACTGTCAGCACGCGCATACAGACTCTCTTCGACCACATCGGTCTGCATATCGATAACTACTACGTGCCTGCAAGACATGAAACTGTATCACCAACCCCGGAGGAAGCTATTCGCATAGAGAGCTATGCTTCTACCTCGATTACTGGATCCTTGATCACCGCTTTAGCTAGCCGTCGCGCCCGTCGACCTGTCCTCAATCATGTCTTGGCTCGAACCATCATACAAGCAATTCAACCTAGAGGGTCTCTGTATCCTCCGTTCATGGAGTCTCATGGGGTTGAACCTCTCTCAGCCTCGACTTCGACTCGAGACATGTTCGCGTGGCGCATGCTGACAGCTCGTCTCCATCCGGAGTACGTGGACCTGTCTTCGGCAGCTGCACAAAGGAACATCGCTGCTCTCGCAGAGAATTTTTCAGAAGCTTTTGCGATATACCAAGATCCTGAACTCTCCGATGCAGATCGCAGGCGTCACCTGGCCAGCGTCGTTAGGGAGGCAGCTCAGCTGAGTGTATGGCTGTTTACCCAGCCGTGCTCGTTCAACTTTAGCTGGAGTGCGCCGTCTCCTGGCTCTGTTGTTGTTCTACCAGCGGTCATAAAGATCAGTGATGAACGGGGTGATATACTACCGGTTCCTCAGAAGATGGTGGAGGAAACGATTGCTCAGATATGATTTTCTCAAATAAGTTCGAGATATAATGAGTCGTAATAGTTCATGACCATGAATGCCCCCTTCATACTCCAATATCTCAAGTAACGACCATCTAGATATTATTACCCTTTGCCTGCCTCCAGCTCAATAAATCCCGCATCTCATCCTTAACGTCTAACCCCAACCCTCCTCCTTTAATAGCGTTCACTCCCGAACTCGCCTCGCCACCAGTACAAGCGCCAGCGCCAATACCAACCGCCTCACCCTCCCCAGGCAACTCCTGTACCTCCACCTCCTCTATACCCAATACCTCCTCACCTCCTCTCCCTACTACCCCTTTCCCTCCATCATCACAACCCACCCCCATCAACCTCTCCAACACAACCATTAAACTCGAATAACAAACCATCAGTCTCCCCCTCTGCACCTTCGCCCTCTGCCCATCCCTACATACCCACCTTAACTGCGTCCCCAAACCCATTGAAATCCGCTTACTCCTCCCCTTGACATTATGGTGTGTAGTGTGCTGATTGCTCCTCACTTCCCACTCCACACGCACCGGCTCAACCAGCACCGCTAACGCATGCACCGCGTTTGTCGTATCTGCAATAGTAGACTCAATCCATTGTCTTTCTGAATCGTCAAGAAACGCTGCTTTTTGGGCGTAGAGGTGCGAGGCGCGGTGGAGCTGCGTGCGGATGTGCGTGAGGGTTTGGAGGAGTTCAGTTGATTCGTGGTGCGCGGAGGGGAAGAGGAGGGGTGGTGATGGTGGTAGTTGTATGTGCGGGTGTGGAGGGTTGGTTGTTAGGGAGGCTTGGTCCGATAGTGAGGTGTTGGGTGTTGTCGAGGTTGAGGTTGAGGTGGTAGACATGGGCATGATTGTGGATGTGGATATGGAGAGGGTGGGTGTGTTAGTTAGATGGGAGGTTTGAAGCAGGAGGCAGGAGGAGGTGGTGGTGTTCGAGGGTAGTTTCCGTGTATAGGGGCCGTTGTTACGGATGGTTTTGGGTGTGTGGATAGGTAAACAGATTGGTGCGGAGGGTACGGATGTATGCATCTAGGGTCATTAGCTGCATGTGTATTTGCTGAAATGCGGAATACCATATACAGCACGGTACTGAGTACTATGGTCTTTGTTAGCGCAGGATTGATTGCGTGCAGTTGGCCAATAGGAAGCGGGGCCCTCATGCAAATTGACTGCGCCGCAATATGAACCACTGGCCAAGAGGCCTGGACGGATAAGCACCCGACAAGGTTTCTTAGCATAGGTACACCCGGACACCCGTTCCTCTATCCGATTTGTTGGATTATGTGCATCGGTGGGGTCCCGTGCGGGTACGAAGAATCCGCTAATAATCGCGTTATTATTGCTGTTGCGGTTTTGGGTCAGTGCTATTACTTACTTTGGCGTAGCTCAGCCTCGCCCCGAGACGGTTGAGCCGTCTCGCCCGAAAGTCTGTCTTTGCTCGGTGTTGGATTTTATTGCATGACTCATGATTAAGCTGATGCCATTGATTCTTTTCCTGGATAAGTGTACCTGGTTGATATGCTACATCACAATGTAATCTGCAAGATAAGTCGAAGAATATTTCTTTACATACAAGAAAAGTACACAGGTGCTCGTGAGCAGAACCAGGCATAGAATATTCGATGAAATCCCATGCTACATTTTCCAGCTTTCATCCACCACATTCAACACCTTTACTATCTTAAGACTCTTACAGAGCAAGAGCAAAGCCGAGGGCTCCAGCAGCACCAGCGAGACGCATGGCAAGGCCTCCGGTGATATCAGGTGCACCCCCAGTTGACACAGAAGAGCTCTCTGAGGCGGTCGATGCAGCACTCGACTCGGACGTACTTGTCCTCGTCGACGATGAAGACGAGGAGATAGAGAACGATAACGGCGTCGATGTTAAATAACTCCAGAAAGGGCTAGTAGCATTTCCACTTGTATCTGGCGTCACGGTTTTGGTAACACCCGTGGTAACTGGAGATCCGGTGACAGTTTCCAAAGTGGTTACGGTCTTAACGGCGGGTGTACCCTGGTTTGTAACATCGTTGAGTGTGGCTAACACTGTCACTGCGAAGAGGGCGAGTATCTTGAAAAACATGTGAATGGTATTGAGAAGCTTTCGTTGGGTAGTATAGCTGGTTTTGAATAAGAATTGGGTGATGAAGTTACCATGTTAGTAGGAGGGGTCTCTGGTTTATGTACTCTAGTTTGTTGGAGCCTGATCAGGAGTGAGTTAGTTTGTGACTCTTATGTGAGAGAAGAATGATGCGGCAACACTGATGTTCGGCGACGTTAAGAGATGTCTTCTTCTCTTAGGGGTCCGTGAGCACCCGCGCCACCGCCCCATTATCGTCACATGGCAGCTAAGCTATTAGGCCACGAATGAACAAGCATTGACGAGGAGGCTTAGCATTTGGGGAGAAAACTATCTCGGAGAGACCGTCGGGAAAGCATGCTAGTATCCTACGCTATTTCTACAGGCCGAAGAGGATAGGGAGCGAGAGGAGTCTCTGAGGAAGCACGAGCAGGAGCAAACCCGTCGGACTACTTTCCGAGAGTTCATTCAATACTGTCACACCCTTCGTTTGATCCCCTTGAGAGCCGGACATCCCGCTGAGTCAACTACTGGCGAGATCCCGCAGCCCACTGGCAAATATAGCCCACTGCGACTAGAGCTCTGGACAGACTGTGATGCTAGACAGCAGGAGATCCACAATACTGCCTGCCACTACCTCCTACCCCTGGGTCGAGACCCTCCTCGGTTGTTCAGTTCCCGACACGCACTCGAGGAATATAACCGGCGTTTCAGCAATCGGCCTATCACGAGTGAAAAGGACCTGGAGTATCACGAGCGATCCGCCGTTGAAAGTCAGGTTCAAGATATCATCGCTGCGCTAAGCCAGATACCGGGCGCTCGAGACGAGTTTGGGCTAGGAGACGGGGTGCTGTTCGATAGTCATACTAATGGTCTAGATGAGATCATGCCAGAGGAGCATCATGCCGGTTCCTCACCTTACAATGGAAACTCCCGCCCTGACCAGTATTGCATCCACCGTGTTCACGGAAATACAAAGGCAATACTGACTACTGTCGAGTATAAGCCGCCTCATAAACTGTCCATGGGAAATACCGCTCCGCGTTCTAGCAGCAGCCGAGCGTTCATGGCCACGATTAGGCGCCGTCGTTCCGCGCGATGATCGAGCAGGTCGCGCTACGTAGGGTATACACGGGATCATAAGGAATGCTCGTGTCTGCCTCAATTCTCCAGTAGGAGTTGGAGCAGCGTCAAGTGGCCAGTATTGACAGCGTACATGACTAACCGACCAGCCTCCATACAGGCGACCTTGAATACTCGTGCCATGATTGGACGGAACTCGAACAGTACTTGACTGTCCTGATACTAGAGCATCCGTGATAGCAGGTTGGGATCGTGTTCGGGAATCCCCATCATGGTGCTCCAGTCCGTCTATTTCAGCCCCGTGGCCCAGCAACATCCTCACCAACGTGTCATCTCCGATGATAGCTGCGACGTTTAAGTAGCATTTGTACATGAAATTATGACTTTATAGGGACTGTCGCGTGATGCACGAAGAGATCATTGCATGCGAGGTCCACGTCGGCACCGTAGTGGAAAAAGTTTTGTGTTTCCTTGGAGGCAATGGCTCGCACGACACTCGTTGGCCAACTATGTGCGAAGTCCTGAGCCTCATCGGGCCATTGGTAGTGACAGAGAAGGAGTACCTCCCAGAGATGGGGGCTCGGGTCACCTGCAGTAGACTGGAGAGATGTCCAGCCGCGAGAGGTTCAGCCACCTGTTGGGTAACTCCAACAGTGACAGGGTGTATGCACACCTCGGTGGGACGTTGAAAGTGTAAAAAGCAACGACTCATATAGAACTCGACAGTGAAGGAGATCTTACAAGCTGACAGGTCAGCTGGTTGCCTGGACTAGCTGAAGGTGGTTATTTAAGCCTCGTAGCCGTTAACTGGCTTAGTGACAGCTGATTAGGTGGGCAGTATATAGATCCAAGGTCTAGCGTCATAGTCGACTGCGGACCTTGAAAGGAATGTTGACACATTCACTGTCGTCAGTCAGTCAGGCACCACCTATCCTTTGCCTCTGCCTGATGATATCTTGTTGCATAAAGCGTCAGCTTAATACCTCAAGGTAATATAATAACACCTCGGGTACCATCTCGGGGCCTCGGCAGGATCTGAGCTTAGTATAATAGCAGTAGGATTTCTGCATCTACTAAAACAAGGCTTTACCTTCCAGGGTGGGCGGGGTGCAGAAAGAGGGCATCTGCGGATAGTCAAGGCTGTGGCATAAGCAAAGGCTGGTGTGGGGGTAGATAGAGCCTTCCTGTATAGTAGCCTTAACCTAGTACTGTTCCACTCATATTTTTTTTTGGATTTCCGATAGGTTTAGAGACAACGCCTATTACTGGCCGCAGCTCTGCTCGCCGAGTAATACAAAATCCAATAAGTTCATTCCGTTGACGTCTAGCTGCTTTATTCAGTAGTTTGGCTCCGCAATACTTCTTTGTCATCGAGTATTTCGGTCAGACAAGAAGAAATGAGCCGAAGGGGGTTCACTTTGATGCTGAGAACTGACTTTGGTAGTTTGCGAGCGACCCAGCAGTAATGATCCTGTCTCAATGTAAGTGATATTCGCTGTTGGGTGGATGTATCCTGTGACTGAGCTGGAGTGCCAACACAGGCAATTATTCGTGGGCCTACTAGAAGACACGCGCTCGGATCGTTTGTTGACAGGCTCCACTTAGTGTATGTATGTTTGATTCATCCCCAGCCCCAGATCCTTATAGCCAGGTCAGCATGAAGAGGCCTTCAGCTCGCTATCTCTGTACTTATGACTCTTATGAAGGCTTTATGAAAGTGCCACGGAGAAACCCAGTTTCCGTCCGTCCACAGTGGGTTTTTGGGTCGATTGTTGCTGGAGGAGCCGACGTGACTGTCCGATTAGGCCGTGGATATTTTGCCCTTTGAGGGGCCTAGCTCATCAAACGAAGCTATGCTGGCTTTCAAATTCTTTCAATCATTGATTTCTCCCTGAGTGCATGCAGCTTACTTTCTAACGCTCCGAGGAGATGTCCAGGCAAGCGATGATGCTGCAGCTGCACACCTCATCATCGGGGTTGGATTGACATTCCCGAGTAGGAAGCATGTAGATAACGATAGGGTGAGAAATGGCAACGCCTCAGGAATAACAACTGCCTGCATGGACGGTGTCAAAGCACGTTAATACCCAGTACCATTTTATTCCGTCGAGTCGGATTGCTGTATTCAACATCGGACTATAAGGAATTTGTTCATACATGCAGCTGTTGATCCTACCCACAAGAGTTACCATCAGTTAGCTTAATGCTGGTCCTAAGTAACCCAGAAGTGCTTAAAGGTGTGTAGAGGTCTGTGCAACTATCTCAGATCGATTGAAGCGACATAGTCTGATATGCACCTTGCCGTAGAGTGGAGTTCCGGGCTCTTACAGACAATTCCAGATTATGATCGACAGGAAAAGCTAGTAGGTAGTAGTTACTGCTGGCCGGGAAGGAAATGCATAAAGAACAGTATCTGATTGGAAGACAGCAACCTCTGCGTATTATGCGCATATGCGGGTACGAGTAGTATGGTGTGCTGTAGATATTGCGTGGCATTCAACACTTGGCCTACTATGCATAATGACTCGGACCGTCATCTTTGCTATTCGCTTTCCAAACTGACAATCTTCTGGAAAGTGGTATCTTAAAGCGGGACATGCATGAGGGAAGCATCATGAAGTATCCTTTGCTGGGTACAGAGCATGTCGTGATTGCGATTTGTGTAAAGAGTCAAGAAGGGAGATAGGAGGACACCATTGTTTCTTTGGGCCTTTCACAGTTTTGCTACTCACTCTATATTCTGCCGAGAACGTATAACTATTCACGAGATCTAACATAGTAATTCACTCTTTCATTTGATCCATTGCAAGGCAAAAGGTTGTATCTAACCGAGCCCGCTAAGTATGTGATTTGTTTGACCCCGCACCAACATGGGTTGGTTGTTGGCTTATTGGTTCGGGTGAACCTCGCCGCGTCACCCATTGTCTGACTCGCCAGTGCCCCATAATCTTTGTGATAGGGCTGGTGCGATTACACCTCGGCAGACCTGCTGGTTTTAGGCAGATAGCTGTACTTGACCGGGATTCAGTTCGAGTTCGGCACTCTGCTCAGTACTCTGCGCTGATTGTTGTCCTTGAGATGCATGGTCGTCTAGGTTAGTCCACCAAGCATAAGGAGGATAGTCAAACCCATCTTTAGTATTGTCAGTAAGACGGATACTCAGGCAGCCACAATGCAGCATAGCGACTTTTCAGTAATTGGTTGCCTCGCGTCGACGCCTTCTGTGAGCCATTTCCTTGCGAAGGCCCATGCATGCGTGTTGACGACAGCATCAGCAAGTTGTTGCAGATGTGGCATGGTCGGGGAAATACAAAATGTTGCAGGTACGTACCTGTGAATCAGCTCCTCTCGCTACCTAAGCAAGTATTAAGTTGATGGAGCTCGCTACCCATAAGACTTGCCTCTGACCAGCGAGTTGATTTCTCTTTCAGTTCTCCAAACACATCGAATTCAGGACTGACTTCTCACCTCAAAAACACATACGCTATGTCTCCATTTCGGCTCCGCAAAAACATTGCCGATCTTGATGAGAAAGAGCTTAACGATCTGGTCCTTGCATTCCATTTACTTCAGGAAGAGGGTCCAGGAACGGCGGAAGCTCCAAATGAGGATTCCTTTTATACCATCGCAGGTTATCATGGCCAGCCCTTCAGGGGTGCTGGCTATGGAAATCGAGATTGGTGGGGAGGATACTGTCACCATGGCAATGTGCTTTTTCCTACCTGGCACCGTGCGTATGTCCTTCGCTTGGAGGACGCCCTCCGCAAAGTTTCAAACAAGCCGAATCTAGCTCTGCCATACTGGGATGAGTTTGCCGACTCCATTGTACCGAATATCTTCACACAAAGAAAATATACTTTACCCGTTGTGGGCGAGATTGACAATCCCCTGTTTTCGTACAAATTGGCCCAGGGATTCTTCGACAATCTCGGTCGAATTGCATCCGACCAAGCCGGCACCACGACCAGAAAGGTTGATTACAGCAAGCCCAAAAAGTATGAAACAGTTCGATGTCCTTACTCGGGACTTGTTGGGGAAGATGATAAGGCCGCCACAGAGGAATATAATGCCACCATCAATGAGGCTCAGGCTACCGAGAGGCTGAATGAGAATGTGTACTACTGGCTAAGAAGTCCCGCTACAAATACAGTCCCAGGCATGCGTCAGCTTTACATCAATGCTGCCTGGAAGGCTCCCAACTATACCGTGTTTTCCAACACCACATCAGCTGCTAAGTGGAACGATGATATATTTTCTCGTGAGCACGAATGGGAGGATGACTTTGTGGTTTCCGTGGAGCGGCCACACAATGGAGTTCATCTGGCAGTTGGTGGATATGACATGCCTGACAAGGATCGAAACCGAAAAACTCCCTCACAAGCAAACGGGGACATGGGCGAGAATGACACGGCGGCGTTCGATCCGATCTTCTTTTTTCATCACTGCTTCATTGACATGGTCTTTTGGCTCTGGCAGTTCCATCATGAGGCCACAGAGAATTTTGATATTATTCCGTTTTACCCCGGAACCAGTCCGATTGATAGTCAAGGTCCAACTCCGGGTATGAGTGCTGATTCCCAGCTCAACATGGAAACCCCGTTAACCCCTTTTCGCTACACTTCAAGGGTAACTGTTAACCACAAGGCCAAAAATGTTATCTCATATAGAGCCGCTAACCATGAATACCTCTAGGATGTTGTGAACATTCAGGAGCTCGGATACGAGTACAAATGCGATAAATACCTTCAAAAGGACCCCCTACCACCACCACCTATCGATGTCCTGCCGCTACCAGTACCGCCATCCATGTCACGCTCAGCTGTACGGGTGACAGGTATCAGTCGGAGTCAAAGACTGGGCTCTTTTGTTGTGGCTATTTGGGCCTTCCCTTCCGACAAGGAGGATGATTGGGCTCACGCTACTCTAGTTGGGCTCGAGCCGGTTTTCAGCCGGTGGCATGTGCCAGGTTGTGCCAACTGCAGCAACTCTCTGACGGTAACTTTGCACGCACATCTACCACCCGGCTCATCCCCAACGGGCTCAGACAAATTTAAGGTCGGAGACGAGAAAGAAAGGAAACTGAAGATTATGGTGCTGGATAATCAGCTTATAAAGGACGATAAAGGCTTGCCCCGCAAAAAAAGGGTACTTAACCCTATCACAGGTGACAGCAAAGTGGATCCAGGACCTTGGATTGAGGTTAGGAAGGTTTCAGGTTGAGGTATTTTGGCTTATTTGTGACTGCCAATCGGCAAATGGGAACCTTGGATGTTCGTCCTTTAGGTTTCTTCATCAATGGCAGCAAAATAGATAGGACCTACTCAATTCAGGAATATGTAGTCAATATTGCCCCATCACCTCCATTCAACTCTTCTTGTCCAAAATGATACCTTATACTGACATTGCCGTGGAGGCTGGACCTTTTGTGTTTTCAGAGCTGGTTACGAATTTCGTGGTAACGATTGGTAAGTTAATCCCCTCATTATGTATGAAGTCCTGCATCCCAGTAGTCCGATCTATATGCAGATGGACGTGATTTGGACTTATGCTTAAGACTCACTCCCCTTAAGCAGGGAGTATATCCACCCGGATTCTATATACCATATAAATCAGCTTTGCTAGCCTATTAAGCCGTTATAATCACTGGATCGGTTGCTGTTTTACGCTGTAGTAGGACCACATATGCGGTTAGAGCTCTCTCCGTAGACTCGGATAATGACTCTGCGTAAATGGTTTGTCATTGGAAGATGAAGAACACGCTGACTCTACACCCTTTTCTTTTGGTTTCTTTTTTCTTCTTTCCCCCTTCGCGATCAAACATGCCTCGAACCATTAGACTCTCGTCTTCCGAGCCGGAACATGTATTACTTCGCTACAAAAAATGGTGATTATCGTTTACAAAAGTCGTTAGAAAGGAAGTAAAATGTTCCCCGGGGATATTTATAGCTCACAATGTGACTGAGCCGCCTACTGATCGATAAACTAAGCGCGCGATTCACCCTCTTGCTCCGCAACCCGCACTTCTCCAAATGAACTTCTGTTAAAAGCCACATCGGCATGATCAGGCTTAGGATGGCACCGTGGACCTGGCATCCAAGTCCGGTAACTAGAACACTTCTGTTTCGAATGTGGATCATGCATTCATTAACGTTTACCTCCCGTATGGTGTCTACGATAAATGACGACAGTCAACTCTTCAAATACACGTCTGGTCGATGGATGTGAGTTGCTCAAGGGTGCCCTCTGCTCTTCACTTTTGGTAGCTTATATCGGTAGATATAACGAGAAAGTTCGTCTCGCTGAGCGTCGCCTGGAATTCAATGCTGATGCATTGAAAACTGCTGTTGCTCGGTCGCTACAGAGATGCGACACAAATATCAAAAGCCTGACGAAATTGGCGGAAGGGGGCTTCGACCGTGTCCTACAGATCACCATGAATAATGACACTCAGGTCTTTGCGCGATTGCCATAGCTCTCAACTAGTCCAAGACAATTGGCAATTGCTAGCGAGGTAGCTACCTTGGCTCTCCTTCGCGCTCATGGTCTTCCTGTGCCCCGCGTATATGCATACTCCACAGATGCTAAAAATCCTGTTGGCTCGGAGTATATCATCATGGAAAAACTACCGGGGCGACCACTTGCTGATCGTTAGTTTGAGTTGTCTGATCGAGAACGTCTTAAGGCGCTCCTGCAGCTTGTACAGTTTGAAGCAAAGCTTCATGCGATTCAGCTCCCTGCGAGTGGAAGCATATACTACGCGAGCGATCTCCCGTCAGACTCACCACGCATCGCTGTTCCAGATTCTGATGTCTGCATTGGCCCTAGTGCAGCTCTTAAATGGTGGTTCGCAGAGCGTGCCTCTCTCCGTGTCTATCGCGGTCCTTGTAAGTGCTTCGTAGGCCAGCCTGTCTCAGTGCTGACTATATATTAGGTGCGGACCCGATCGATGTTCTCCGAAATCCTGCGCTAAAGGAACTAGCCTGGCTGCGCAAATATGACCGCCCACGCTTCCCTCTTGAGCGTGCATATCGCGAGTCCATGGCTTACCTATTGTCCGACCCCAGTGAGCATATTGAGTCGCTGGAATTCTACCTCAAGATTGCTCCTCGACTGCTCCCATCAAATGAAGTCTTACGCCCGGTCCTTCGCCACCCTGATCTTCAGCCCACAACATCTTCGTTTCAGATGACTCAGACATCGTTGGGCTAATTGACTGGCAACATGCAGCTGTCCTTCCGCTCTTCCTCGCCGCCAGGATTCCCAAGTTCTTCCAGAACTACGATGACCCTGAGTCCCTTCAATTTCGCCCGCCACCTACTCCGGATTTAAACGATCTGGATGAGGAAAAGGCTGATGTTCTTCATGACTTTCGACGACGCCATACCCACTTTTTCTATCTGGCATCCACTCAGCGGTTCAATGAGCCTCACTTCCGCGCTATGGATTAGACCACGAACATGCTCACTTGGCGCATCTTCAGCCATGCGGGCCACCCCTGGGAGGGCAACAATATCCCGCTTCAAGCTGACCTTGTCTTATTGGCCAAATTCTGGCACGAGTACTCAACTGACCCGTGTCCAATATCCATAGCTACAGCCAGGTCAGATTCTATCATGCATTTGCAAAGCATGCAGGAAGAGATTGACCTCCAACTGAAACATATCCGTAATGCTATTGGTATCAGTAGTGATGGCTGGACTCCTCCGGAAGAATATGAAGCTGCCTGTGCCCGTGCTCTTCAGATAAAAGCTGATGGCCTTGCTTCACTGGATACAGACTACGAGCGCGAGATGACGGATCGACACTGGCCGTTTGATGACCACAATGAGGATGAGTACCTTGACTGTTTTCTGTGTCTATACTTATCTTGAAAGCGTAACAGATGCAACATGTTGAATTTATCAAATCTTTTGCTTTTTCTTTTTGTGTGTTCTTTAAAAATTGAGACACCCTGGCCACCTGCAGAATAGCTCTGTGGTCATGTGCAGGGATGCTGAATACTGTACTTAATGTCATTTAAACCATTATTAGACACCTGGAGTCTTTGCCACATGTTTCCCTATGTGTGGAAGATATTCCTTGCTTCCAAACGTGAAGCACCGGTATAGCTAGCATCTTACTTAGCAGGCTCGATCAGGTATAAGAATCTGGATTGGACTAGGTTGGAAGTCATGAATTAACACTTTATAGAAGTATCTATATATCTATAAACAGTGAAGAAGCTGACACAGAATTGCATTTCTATGACTTTGATTAGACGAGACCACTCGTAAGTGTCTAGTGTAAGCGGTGGGGAAGAGTGGTGTTGGGACAGGGACGAGAGCGTATATAGATGGAAGATAGGGCTTTTATATACTTGAAATCATGAAAAGATGTAAATTATGTGCGACGTCAACGTTTCTGTAGTTGATTGTAGATCTACGAGTTTTCAAGATAAAACAGCGGAGATCAATCGGGAAGTAATCGGACGCAACTGACTACCCGCGAAATGCGCGACCGGGGGTGAGAACCCTGGGAGGTTCGCCAGTCTTCCCATCGTTGCCACTTGTTTAATAAACACCTTGCGGGTACAGACATCTGCAACCCCAGCTTTACTCGCTCTTCTGATCCTGCTTGATGAGGTCCGCCGCTCTCTCCGCAAATGCATACACAGTAGCTTGCAGATTCGCCGTGCTTATAAGCGGGATAGCACTTGCATCCACAACCCTCAGACCTTCGATACCGTGGACCTTCAAATTGGAATCCACCACTCCGTCCTTCTCGAGAGGCAGCATCGAACAGGTTCCCACAAAGTGCCACATGGAGACCAAATTGTCCCGAGCGTACTGCTTTGCGGCATCCAAGTCTCCTTGGAAGTCTGCATCTGGGTCATGGAACTTCAATGGCTGTTCAAGGAGCTCCCCAAGCTGAGGTGACTCCGCCAGTTTCTTGATACGGAGCAAGTGTCGTGCCATAACTTCCAGGTCGAGAGGGTTTGACATGTAGCCAGGGTCAATGATTGGAGGGGTTTCAGGGTTGTTGGAGGTACTGGGGTTCGGTTTGTCAGTTCTACATTTTCTATCAAGAAAGATGTAAACAACAAAGATGCACTTACATTTGAACGCTTCCGCGGGAAAGCGGTTGAGAGAGCATCACTCCAAGCGTGACGAACTTTCCTTGTGAAGCATCTGGGATAGTTCCGTCCCTGAGATCTTTGGCATAATTTGTTTGCCCCAAGGCGGATAGGTACGCAGCTGATGGTTGCTTGGGATCAAGAATAGTAGTCTTGGCGATGTCATAGTAGGATTGCGTTGCCTTGTGCTGTAATTTCTCAGCAGCGTCGCTGGTGAACAGTGCCTGGAGATCACTTCTGTCCTGTTCAGGAAGAGGTAAATAGGCGTAGGTATGAACTCCAAGTGACGTGAGGGGCCCAGACTTCGTGGCAGCATATTCCTGCATTGCCTGACCAATGGCTTCAGGCTCCTGTCTAACCAGAGAGTCCTTCGTTTCTAGTTCAGGCTTTGCTTGGAATGCGGTGTAAGAGATCATATGATCTACGAACATTGAATGTTAGCTTTTTCATCCCAAAGCGAGTAGTTGTCAATAGGAGAGGGGCTCCTGTTATCTATGTCGCCGGTGCTAGACTGGGAACTGTTCACATACCCTGAAGATTCTGTCCAACTCCGGGAAGGTCCATAACCACATCGATACCATGCTTGTTAAGAAGTTCTACTCCACCAACTCCTGAAAGTTGGAGGATTTTCGGAGATTGGAAAACACCAGCAGCAAGTATGACTTCACTCTTTGCCTGAACCGTCTTTGAGGCCTCATCAATACTGTATTGGACTCCAATAGCCCTAGGAGGCTTGCTTTCGTCAAACAAGACTCTCTCAACAAGAGCATTTGTAAGGACATGAAGGTTTTGGCGAAGCTCCACAGGCTTATAGTAAGCCAAGGCAGAGTTGCTTCTCCTACCCTCCGAGTCAATACTAGCAAGGCAACTGAAGGAGCCTACAGAACTGTGAATGAACGGATCCCCGCCATTGTATTCTCCATGGCTGCGAAACAGTTCAGCCCATGCTTTGCGGATGGGGTGTGTCTCGTTGCCAAAAGATGTCTGGATTGGACCTTTCGCTCCGTTCAGTTCAGGCCAGTCCTCAATTGCCAGACTTTCCTTGGCATCCTGTGCTACATTTGGACTGCTGTAGGCCTTGGCCAAATAGTCTTTCAATATGGTCCAATTCCATCCGGGGTTACCGAGTTCCTCCCATGAGTCAACAGCCCCCTTAAATGGAGGAACAAAGACGTGTGCATTCAATGAACTGGATCCTCCGAGTGTTTTTCCCTGATTAAGACCAATTACTCTGCCATTGAGGCCTGGCTATAAGAATAATAGATTAGCTATCTCACACACTCACTTCTGATCAGAACAGGGGCCATTCATACCTGAGGGGTAGATTGGAATTTCCAATCAGCGTCAGATCCAAGTAGTGCAGCATAAAAGATAGGAATGTTCACACGGGGATCTGCTGTCAAGTCGGCACCTGCTTCAAGAACGAGGACGGAGGTGTTGGGGTCCTCGCTCAGTCGAGAAGCAGTTACCAGGCCAGCCGTACCGCCGCCAATGACGACAAAGTCATATGCAGTAGTAGCCATTCTGTACTGTGTGCAGGTTTACTTAAAGATTGGATGAGAGTGTGAAAAGAAAAAGAATTACGAGTGTAAGAAGTAGCTTGTTAAGAAGGAAGAAATACCCCGAGACGGGAGAGAGAGATATATTAGGCACTAATTGAATAGCTTCCTACTAGCTAGGAACATCAGACAACAAAAAAACATTATAATGAGCTCCACAATGCCAGTTCTACCCCGCCCAGTCGTAGCCATTTTAAAGGCACCGGCTCCTGCCCCACCGATATATTTGTCCGCTAGTATTTACGTAACATGAAACCGAAACCTGAGATAGGGACATGTATCAGTGCTAGACAATAACCTATAACCTCGAAACTGAAGAACAGCCGAGCGTGTAAAAATGTAGCTAGGTCTAAATTTAACATACTTATGGCTTAGGAAAAGAGTCAAGGAGCATAATGAGATCAGACCTTGGAAGACCTGGAAAGCTTATTCTCGCCTCGCGATCGTAGGAATCCAGGTTACAGTAGATTACAGACTTTCGAGGCTGACAATGAGTTACGTGGCAGTGTAAAGGTCGCCCGAAAATGATAATTTCGGGGCTCCTCCCGGCCGATTCAGCACAGACTATGGAGTAAACGGGTTGTAAGTTCAGCGGTTTGACGCAGGTTTGTTGTCTGTGCTTACTGCTTAGGGGATCGTCCTTTTAGGTGCAGCGGGTCCTAACAGTAAGCTTCTCTTCGATCATTGTACCCTGCTACTGAGCTATATTAGTGGCACTGCCGTCTGCCGCACTGTCGTCCCACTTAGGCCATAGGCTAAACCTTTATAGGTAATTGTTAGCCAGTGATAAGTTCCGTTCGCAGATGACTTTCTTATCAGGATTGTATACAGCTATGTGCCCTGACTCTTTACATACTTTCTGCCAGGAGCCGCACCTAGTGCCCTCCCGAGTCCCCCAGAGGCTCACAGGGAACCCCAACAAAGGTCCCCGCTTAGGGCTCCGCATACACTTGATAACGTTACTGATGAAATGGCTGGTCGTGTTACTCGACAAAATCTCAGCTAGAGTCTCCAATTGAGGTATACGCAGGCAATCTTTGGCATCTCCCTGAGGAATTGGAACATGAATATAATTATAAAGGGTGGTGGGTGGGGACAGCCTCCGGGAGGAGACCTGTTAACAGACACCTTCGCTTAAGAGCTCCCGGGGCGCTCCGGGAAGTCGCAGAAACAGGATTTACTAGGTAATTAGTAGCACAAAGGGCACGCACTTGAACTAAGGAACTTCAATCGAAATATCACCCGTTTTCGAATTCAATAGCTAGGTACTAAATAGGGGTTCGCTCAAGCCAGACGACTGAGGCTTAAGCCTGACTATATCTAGCAGAGAGGTACAGATATCAAGGGAGAAAGGTACAATCAACATGGCTATTTTTTCTGGCTTTGATTTCAAGGCAGAGGTTAAGATAATTTGGGCTCTTGTCACAAAGGCTGACGCAGCTATTGCTTCTGAATCACTCACACGCGATTGTCCAAAGACACATCAATGAGAAGAAGGGGGATAAGGATAGCATATCTCAACACTGAGAATGCAAGAAAAATAGAAGTTCGCTTCGAGAATAAAGTTAAAATGGAGACATAGTTGGTCCCCAGCCTGCTAGAGAATTACCCACTTGTGATACAACTCCACCACTGAAGGATGTCTGTCTGTCGTATTGAGCCACCCCTGAAGTATTACCTCCTTTTGCATGGGTACGTGTATGTTTGTGGATAGCGTGAAACTTGAATCAGCCTTCGAGCTAGCTTCATTTCACGTTGAGTCTATTGCGGCTTCATATAAATATAGGCAGTCAAGATCATGAATACCGGCACACGAAGGTTTGCTAAGAGACACTGCTTGACTCTTCCTAACTTCAAAGTAGTTGACTCCAATTATATCTACAATTATGGCGTCTTCTTCAACATTGGTTTAGCTTTTTGCACCTATACAATTGCTGTGGGCAGCAGCGAACTCGTGGTCAAGGCTTCAACATTGTACCTCAACATCGACCTCTTTCTCAAAAAGATCTTTTGCCGGTTGTGCTACGGGACACTCTTCATCACTGCTTCGTATTTCACCATGGTACTGACCGAGGCCTTTGCGCTTTGCAAACCGGTCCAATATATTTGGGATAAAATTGATTATAGGACATTACAATGGTGAAAATATTGCTTACCTCGTTGCTGGCATTGCCAATCTTACCCTTGACGTTTTCATTGTTGTCCTACTGATGCCTCTGGTTATCAGATTACAACTGGTTCTATCCAAAAAGATTGCCGTCTCTGCAATGTTTAGCCTCGAGGCGTTGTAAGTTTACTATTCCTCTTTTATCCCTTTGTCGCTTGCAAGGCAGGTTACTTACTATAAGCACACTTGCCAGGATTTGTGTTGTTTCTCATAGGGGATCGTTTGGTGGTGGACTTGGAATCTGACCTACAACGTTACACCCGGTGCCAATTACTCGGTATTGGAACCAAAGCTTGGGGTTGTAAACGCGTGTTTACCCACAATAAAACCCGCTACCAACGAGCTGTTTGGGTCGTACGTACTCTTCCTTTGCTACTTGACTGTGGGACAAGAATTCTTGCTTTCGATATTAAAAGCTCTGAGCTAACACTAAATAGTGGCACGCTCCATGGTGCGAAAGGTAGTCACAACAGCGGTGATGTCGATAGTAGCAGATCGAGTCGAAAGCTCAACGGAAAGTGAAGAGCAATGTTACTCGGATTTCGAACGGGTTGGTGATGAGCTTGTACTACATGAAGTGCACATCAACAATCATTCTAATGTCGGTCTCGTCAGCGTTCGCCACAAATCGTCGAGTCCAAATTTACCTTAAGTGATGGGGAAGATCCAATGGCTCTAGCTCACTATTGCAATCATGTCGGGCATGCCCCGATGTACCATTCTGTAATTCCATTGTATCGAAGCCTGGCTTCCACGGTTTGGATTAACTGTTTTATTTAGTTTGCTTACACATAATGCTTGCTTGTGTTGGCGATTTACCCCCTCGACCTCTTTACTGGCTGATTACACAGCCGAGCCAAGTTGTAGTTAGGTATTTAGCGCCAGATCAGCGGTAGTCTTACTGTATGTAGACGTATCTAGTAAGTTGTTTTCCTTTCCCTCTTTTTTATTTTTTGCCTTCTTTATTTGTATTCTTTCCGGCCCCACTTCCCGCTTTAAAGACCAACGAAGGCACAAATGATGCCTCATCGATTCTGACTCTAGTTTCCTTACTAAAATGTACTAAGCACTACAAAGGTGGAGGACCCTCTTGGTACAGGGAAGGTGCCATGTAGTGCGACCTCTTAATCTGAATTAATTTGACTCATTGCTCTGCTGAAAGAAGGCTCTCTGAGGATATCCGGAGCTTGAGAAATTCAGTTGAGACAATGATACGAAGTAATTAGGTATATTAGATCGTGTTCTGCAAAGAGTCTGCATTGGCTTATGAGTTCCTTGCTGACTGATGTCAGCCTTTCATAGTCATATGAACTATATCCAGTAGATATACATGCGATTAATGAAGAGTTTGTGGATCTACTGTGCAACACTGTTGCTCGAATATACAACCAGCTACACTGATCGGTTTATGAAGAAAACGAGGACGAATAGCGCAATTGTGATCCGTTGTTGGTTCACTGCAGCTTAGGCATATCTGGACAGTGGACACAGGAAGAGGAGAGATTGTATCCTCCGCTGGGCTAATCATAGTCATATTAGCTTCACAATTGCCAAGAAAGATCTACGGATCCATAGACTCTAGTCTGTTATAGTAATAACCTTGAAATAGTCATGCTCTTAAAATTGACTAATCTGGGCATACAATCGAGTTGTTAATTTTGAATATAATGATTTTAAGTGAAGGAGTGGCACACGACGATTCAAAATCTAGTGGGACTTGGACTTCTCTAATTCCATGGAGACCTTTGATGATCGCCTGCTATCCTGCTAACGAACTTGAAATCGGGGCCGTAGATCGCCTTGCTCGTGCCAGAGGAGAAGAGCCGGCTCGGGTGCCCGTGGTAGACAAAGATCCTCACGCCTTTTCCGTTCTTCCTTCAGAAGACAACTATATCGGCTACAGCTCAGGAATACCATTCGGATGGGTAAATGACGTGGCGCTGAAGAGGTATGTGGCACACTTCGCTTCTAAGTAACTGGAGTGTGGGGAATCGGTCTAACCATCAGAAAGCCTCGAGGCATTCCGAGCATACGAACCTTCAGCTCTTATCGAACGTATCTGCCCTACTCCGTCGCTACTGATTTTGATGAACAATGATGTTGTCACACCTACCGACCTTGCGCTTGGTGCTTTCGCAAGAGCAAAGGAACCCAAGCAATTACACATTCCGCCGGGAGGACATTTCGACCCATATAATGGGCAACTCTTCGATGAAAATGCTCCAGTACAGGCCAGGTTTCTACAAGAGCATCTCCTAAAGTAGGAGAGCAGTTGAACTGTTCTGATCATCTGCTGGTTCTTTGGTACGTCCGCGATTTGGACTTTGTGTATCGTCAAACAGCTACTACTGGAAGTTATGAAGCCGTTTCAAGAACCTGACCTCACAAAAAAAGGTCTGTTTGGACAAGATAGCATCTTGCCTGTCCCTTCTTAACGCATGTCTATGCTCGCCTGACTGGACCGAGAAATCGAGCACAGTTCTGAAACTATCATGTTTTATAGAGTCTGGCCTGCGGGAAGCCGGTTCATCTCCGCTTCCAGAACTCTTTCCATTCCAGTACAAAGGGTCTCGTTGTATGGTCTATAAAACAAGCCCAAGGATTCCATTTACCTACCTAAAGCCATTAAGAATACTTGTTCCAGGATCAGGCTGTTTGGAAGAGGTTGCTCTTCTCAATCACCATCCCTGCCTCCATATTTGTCAGGATCAACCATACGTTCCTTGACCCAGGTATTAATTGCATCCAGATCCCGACACTGTACTTCAGAGCTCCATGAAGCATGTAGTCCCACCTGTCGCTCCCTAGGGGTCTTTTGTAGGTAGTCCTCCGTATACCGCTCTGTGCCGTCATCGTCAATATACGTGAAGCTGGGATCCCACCAGTATATTAACGAGATGTCACCGTGACATAAAAGAGCCTGGCGAATGGCGTGGAAGCAATGATCTGCGTATAGATTAGTTGGATAGGACTAGGGAATAATTTCGACCGCATGCCAATACGCACTTTTATGTATTTCAACCTGCTCCGTAGACATGTTTGGATAGAACACATCCGGATAGAATGATTTCCGAAGGCGATTAAGACAATGTAATTGATGGTAAACCCCTAATCCGTAAATCAGGTATCCGGGATCATTGTATAACTCCAAAGATTTTGGTAAGCCTTGCTTCTTGGCCGTCTCTATATCCATCTTAAACCCATTGTCGTTCTCTAAATCTGGTTAGCTTCCCAAGTTACGAACTTCTTCCCGACTCCGGTGGTCCCACCTAATGCCCAGCTTGTCCATGGATCTTCTTTCCCAGCAACAATCGGCGACTGAAATTCAGGATCGGGCTCATATTTTTTGTTGATATATTGAACGACGCCATCTTCACGCAACGGAGCTAGTTTTTCATCATCAGTCTTAATGGCCTGATTCATTTGTGTTGGGGACTTACAATATGGAGGATTAGGTCCCCTATGTAAGAAAGATTGTCTTTGCAGTAGATGTATCGCACCAAATAAAAGAGCCAAGAGACAAATGTTCACACACAAAAGGACTGGAACACAAAAACTGAATCTTTGTCTAGATTCCTCCCTGGGCAATTGATATGGCTCTGGGTGGAGAAGACCAGCCTCTTCAGTAACATTCTCCTCGTCATCATCAGACGCCTCCTTTTGGAATCGGGCAATATTCAAGTTCATCATAGAAAACGCCATCAAATGTCCAAAGGCATATGCTGATTCATGGGTCATACATATTGAGAGATAGTAGGGTTGTGCATATAGGAGACCTTTTAAGAGCTGGAAAATGGGGAGCGGTATGTCCTCGTCAGCGCAGAAAAGGTCGGTGTGTCTCGATTTGCTAGAGACAAGTCAAATATCATCTGGATGAGTTGCACCATCTGAGCACTTGAGGAGATCGACACTCTCTGTCGCACTTTCAGCATTTTACAAATGTAACCCTATCCCTGACGTGTATGCCGGCTCGCCCTTAAACATACCCTTCAGGGAATTGTCGCTTCCTCCTAGCTTCTCTTCGTGTGGGGGTGTGGTTGAGCCCCCTACAGATATCTCCGATTCAGTTCCTACATATGCTGATTACACACCCTACCGTTTGGCTGCGTAACCATATATGAACGCAGGGGTGGAGACATCGCCACCTGACAGCGCTAACGAAGACTGATGCCACTCTCTATGATCTACAAAGTCCACAAAATAACCATATCTGTGTGCGGGTCATTTGATCGGGTGACCATCTACAAACGTGAGGGATTTTGAAAACAATCTCAAATCAGCAGCGAAGTTGACGGAATTGCTGCAGTGCAATATATGAATAGTTAGCGAGTGCGCCGATCATCTTGTAACATCCAACAGAATTTTTCTTTTTGCTCACAAGCCAAATTTTACCAGATATAACATTCGCTGGTATCCTGATATATAGTGCGGTCTCGATAACCTGATTATAAATCAACGTTCGAACTGAGTATTCAGCAAAGCTCAGGTGTCATGATGTTCATATTTGACGAACACATAGGCAAACCATTATGCTTCACCTCATAATATACGAGGGGTAGTTGAGATTCATTTGTGGTGTGCGTGGTGACCCAAATTGGGCCTTACGTAGTTCGGCATGTAGCACAGTAACACAATGACAGTACTACGGCATTGGGGTCCTTGCGGATCTAAGGACTCTTGTTCATGCATGCAAATCCCTTCGGAAGATCTTGTATCCATACACAGTGAAATGCTTGGGTGGCGGAAAATACTTACACTCTACGACTCTACTCGGCTTTGTCCACTACAATCAAATCCAGCCGTCCAAATATACAATACCGTTAAATATCCTGCTTTGTTAACCCAAAACATTTCATAGAGTTTCCATACTCTGCCACGATCACCATGCGTTTTACTTCTGTCTTTGCGATGATTGCACTTCTCGGCACCGGCTCAATCGGGGCTGCCGTGGGGCTTCCTAAAGAACAGGACAGCCATCAGGAAATGTCGCCTGCTAGCAACAGGCCCAAAGATTTTGCCAAGCGTATCTTCGTGGGCGACATCGTGTATCGTGACGTTGATGAGACTGAACCTGCAGGTCTGGACAAGCGGCTAAACAGGGGAATCGTCTACCACAGCGACGTTAAATGAGCTACCACCTGAGTGGCTTGAAAGCCGTTTATGGGTTAGTTGCTCCTCTACCACCGTATGCCCTCGTGTTATGTATTCACATGACTGACTATACTGCACAGCAGGTTCGCGTCTTAGGATTGAGCAACACAATGAATCCATCAAAATAATAAATTGCATCAACAAGCTAGAACCAACTTTTACCCTTCACAGACAAGGATGTCATGCTGGGTCTACTACTTGTGTTGATGTTGATGGTCTATTTTTGCGGAAGCCAAACGTTAACGCGTAAATTGTTATGCCGAACATCTCGCCTCAATGATACCCATGTAATCACTGCTTGCCACATACAAGAACTCGGTACCAGTGGTTTTTCTCAACACTTTTAGGATTAGCCCAACGCGTCAGGCATGCTCCGGTACTAATATTGGGCTAGACGTATTAAAGGTCTGTCTGTCCTCCCAAGCTTCTAATAAAATGTAGTGCCATTGAGGATTGCTTGTATTCACTATACCCCGGATGCGCACCGAACTCCAGCATATAGCAGGCCGTCCAGAATAACCAAGAAGGATTATTTCCTAATAACATGATACAACTTCAATGTAGATGTGCATTATATAGATCGGTACACCCAAAAGGCAGACATAACGCTACGGATCACCAGCAGCATTCAAGCCAGATGCTACGCATGGAAGGTGATTTCCGCTCACTCTCCAACGATCAATCATTGCCACACTTTGAAGTCAAGAATGATGACCATGTTGATGATGTTGTTGATGGAGATGCTTTTTCTACGGATACATTAGCAAGGGATATGGTAGAAGTCCAGAGCATGAGGTGGTAGACATACATGCAGAGCAGAGGTTTCACCAACGTTCACGGAAAAGACAGAGCTGGCGCTCGGTGAGGCTAGCGCAGCTACAGATGAGCCAGCAGATGGCGTGGCAACATGACTGTGGCCATCGCAAACACCATACATAAAATGCTGAGACGAGAAGGTTGATAGAGCACTGCCCTTGTACAACTGGCATTCGCCCCCTCTCACGCTGTAAAGCCAAGACGTGCATTCTGCGAGGCCATCGCAATATCTTGCGCATTGTGAGCCGGTTTCGTAATTTGTATCAAATGCGAAGGGGGCACCGCTGAAAATAGCCATTGTGTTTGCGGAAATATGATCCAGGCAGTCGGCATATGCGATGCCGACAGTGGTTAACAGGAGAGAAATGAGATAGCTAGAAAGCTTCATAATGGATAGATGTAACGGCGGTTAACGTGACAGGTTTGTCTGTACGGTAAGAATGTAGGGAGGTATGATGAGTAGTAATTGGGGACCATATATCGGAGTAGATTGAGACTGAATACCTCGGATGAAGAGACGGAGATGAAAAAACTCCTGTTCGATCCCAAAGCTCTCCTTCTCACCCTGTACCGCTCGTCTTCCAGATTAATTCCCACAAAGTAATATCCCTAGCTATATGCCCGATCAGGGTCTCAGCCTTAGCACCGGAAGTGTGATCTACTTTGGGACTAAGTCTATGCTCGGTGAAAACCCTTTCTGTGCTGAGAAAAAAATTTATCCGTAGTCCCTAAAAGTAAATAACGGAGCTGCGGCTCTAGGAGAGGCGAACACCCGTTTGGGGTCAAGGTCTAGGCTAGCATTCGATAGTTCCATGAAGCACAACGGTGGCGAGATAAGGGAAATTGGGGTCTCAGATGAGGCCTGTCCTCTAAGTGAGGACTCGCCGCATTGGCGCAATCCAAACGCTGAGCTAGGCACGGCGCCGGCTGTAGTTGACATGAACACCGAGAAATGTAGACACTGGTTGCGTTATTTTCTAGTTGAAAAAAATAATATGGAGCGCAGTTTATCGTCATTGTGGCAATTAAGCGAACCTTTGCTTCAAAAACGCCAACAGCATTTGTGACATGAGGTGTAGTCCATCAAGTATGTTGCTACTAGCCTAGAGAAGACAAGCTCTGCTAAGGCTTTATTGTCCGCGCCGAACCCTTGGGGCGCCCCGCATGGATATCCGGCCGACGCACACTCCAAGAGGCCTGAACCCTCCCTCGTCCCCCATTTGAATCGAAGGTCCTTGTCTCAAACCTCAATTTCAGTAAGTTAGCTATTTGAGTCTATATATTTCTGCCTGGAGCGGACTCTTTGGACGTTCCGATTTGCCCATTGACAATAGGTGGGTCGAAATTGGTCGAGTAGTTCATGTACTGAGGTCGGAGGCACGGCCTGGCCCTTGCCTCGGTCGGAGATAACTAGTAGTCAGTTAATTTGGCCACTTTCAAGCAAAGAAACTTTTCTTGTAATTACCATAGTCAAGGTAATTATAGGCTGGATTATATTGTCTTTCGATAACACTACGTGGTGAATCCCCAAATTCGGTCAAACACTAGCGAGAACCACACAAGCCGGTCGAAGGACTTCATAGACCGCTTAATTGCCCGAGGTACCCACATGGCCACTTTTTCCTAATGTAAAATTCTTGGCCAAAGGGTATACTGTCATCTCCTTGAAATATTCGAAAATCTACATTCAATGGCTCAAAATCCAGCTCCAACGCAAGTAGTCTGTCACGAGTACTAGGGTCTGGTGCCAGTATTTTCGCGCGTACGCCGTCTGCGGATGTTGACGGGTCTTGCTCTCTTGACGCAAATCGGAGATACAGGTTTCGCAAGGAGGGTACATGCGTAGGGCAATGTGTTATCAGACTTTTCAGTTCGGTATACAGTGCGGATGAGCACTGAAGGAGGCAATGGTCAATGAACAGATGACTGAGCGAGCGTGGAAGAACTTGCCAGAGCGGCGCTACCGGCTTCATGCTTCCATCTTCAGTAAATTCCAAGAGATTACCCCACCGCATACAAACGGTCTTTAACCGAAGGAAGTTCGAGAGAGATCCAAAAAAGACCGGTGTGGGGGTCTTTGCATCTTGCCGGACGTTCCAATCACTGAAGGTCAAACTCAAATGGCGGAGCGAAAAACGAGAGCTCTGCAGAGACTGGTATAACTGACGTAGGTCTTGCCAGTACTGGCTTTCATATTCATGCCAGCCCTGTTGTTGCAGTGTAAATGACTCGAGCGCTGAGCATCTTTTGAGAAGGTAAGGGAGGCCTGGCAATGCAGTTCTAGGGCATTCGAAATCCAGATGGGTGAGTTGTACGGTGGGGAGATCCTTTGGCATGCTAAGTTGAGATCGGTCACAAGGGTTTGAGACGTATAGCTTGCGCAAAGAAGGAATTCGAAGAAAGGGCAGTAATCGAGTCAGGGGAACCGCATCCACCGATAACTCAGATTCCCAGATACAAGGTCCGTTTGTAAGTGAGATATGCCTGAGCTTAGTCAAGATTCCTAACTCAGGATTGCTGGCCCACCTCATAACCCGCTCAAAGTGAGGTGAATGCCTAGGGGGAAACGGTCCGTCCTCATAACCTCCTATCCATACCTCTTCCGGAAGGGCAACCCCAAGCTTCTCAAGATTCACAAGCTGGACTAGCAACAGCGCTAGCCAGGCATCTTCAAAATGGTGGAGCGCCCGATGAAAATCCGTCCGCTCAAAAGATTGCTTGAGGTCTCTGCGCCAAGAATAGAACTTGCGGCGATGTTTGCGTTTAGACTGTCCATGAGGTAACATGAAGTGGCGATATTTTTCTTCGACCAAAATCTCCAAGGGGGGTAGTTGTTCCCATTTCCCCTCCTTACAGTCGCTAGGATAAAGCTCCAAAGATCGAATCAATGGAGCAAGTGAAGGGTTTGTTATCATCTCTTGGGTGAATCGACGGACAGGAAGAAGTGATTCGGGCATGATTCCGTACGCAGCACCGAGATAGTCGTATTCATTGAGAGGGAGCGAGACGTGGTGATATAAATTGGGAATAAACGCAGTGTACCATGCCTTGCATACAAGAACCAATCGAGTGTAGTCAGGTGGGGTAAAGAAAGGTATAATGTGAAGCAGAATCTCGCTCGGAGTTTGAGCAAGCATTTTGGACGATATGTAGAAGATACGTGTAGCAGAGGAGCAGGCGACGAAGACGAAGTAGATAGGAGAATAGTTCAATCATTTAAGTAGCCGATGTGGGGCGACGGAGCAGCCTAATTATCCGAGCTGGTTGGATCAAGGGCTCGGAGCAGGGAGTCAGGGTCGTAGGATCATAGTAATGTTGGTAATAACGTAGCTTAGTATTTGAAAAAAAAAGGACACTAAGGCCGGACCGACTATTGGGGACTATTGACCTCACTCATTTTCATTGAAAGATTACACACTTGATGTTCACAGGCACAAGGTAATTCTCCCTATTTCAGAGCATTCACTAGCATCAGGGAGCGTTTGTGGCCTAACCCCGAAATTCTGCGCGAGAGCTTGGCTCTGCATCCAAAACATTGCGTAAGCTGGCAATGTTCTGTGCTATCGCTAGGTGGTCGCGGTATTGTTTGCCGTTCGAGCCTTTAATCCAGTCCTGATACCGCTTGAGCAGAACTTTGGACTTGGAAGAAGTCTTCGATGCCTGTACAGCCGCTGTCTTGACCCAGTCTATGACTTTGATTTTACTTCCATCCACCGTAGTCTCCGTATCATGCAGGCTCACAGCCGCGTATATTTTTTGGAACTCTTGCTCCAAGTGGACGAAGTTATCTTCCCACCGCTTTGCCTGAACTACCTCGAGAACTTCCTTCGCGCTGGATAGTAGGTTCTTATAAATAGTTCGAACCTCGCGAGCCTCTTGAATACGGTTTGTCACCCTCGCCGACAAAGCCACGTGATTCAAATCTCGTCCGCCTTTCCACACTTGGTTGATTTTATATTTATGACCCCAGTTCATGGCGGAAAATGTTTTATCTGCATCCTCGATAGGCGGTGAGGTTGTGTCTCCAGCCGGTATCACGGACAGCGATTTCCCTTCAGCGGCGGTAGTTTTGAGAAACTCGTTAAAGGTGCAAATTGTGCCGGTTGCAGGGCTGCACTCGTATGCGATGTATCTATCGGATTCCGGAAACGCGGCGACCTCAATTTGGTAAGCGTAATAGTAGTACACCATCTCGAAGATTATTGCATTCCTGGACGCTTGTCCTAGGACTGCCCAACAGAGGGCACTTAAAAAGACATGGAAAAGCCTCATGATTGAACAAGACAATCAGAAAAGAGCGAATCATGAATGTATAATTGCAGGCTTGAAGTATTCCGATTAATCAACGAATAAACAATTTGCTAAAGAGAGAAATTAAAGAAACAACAATGAATGGAGGTAGTCCTGAACAAGGAATCCTGGACATGGCGGCGAATTTGGGATTCTTATTGCACATCCCTGAGCCCCAAGCACGAGGATTGTTGCACCCATGTTAGCCTCTTTGACCATGGGAAATTAGCTTTGGACATGGGGAAACATAACAATAGTGTCGGAAGATGCCCCAGTTGGGTAAAAGCATGTTCTGGAGCCATAGGAGATAAGGTCCGACTGCGACTAAGCGTTAGCGTGGACGTTAAGAGCGTTGTATAGTCATCATAAATAGGAGTCTAGTGGATAAAGTATAATATAGCTAGTTGGCTTATTATTATCAAGCTAGTTTCATTCGAAAGGTAGGTGTCATTTGAGCAATGCCAGGTTGCCCTAAAAAAGCCTCTACCTTGGTGCAATTGCGAAAGCCCGCAAAATGGGCCACCTCAATTAACGCTATCAAAGTCATCCGAACTTCTGGCCCTCACTAGGTGGCATTCAAAAAATATAAGAAGAGATCCACGTCACTTCTTACCATCACAACCTACTCTTTTCGTCCATTCCTTCTTCTATCAGTCCTACGGGTTACCGTTCTTTCCTCATTCTCTAGTCACTCTTTAACACAGCGTTTCCTCGGGTCTCTTGGGGCGCCGAAAGGTTTTCGCTATGTTACGTTCCTATTTTCTTATGCCCCCAATGGGCTTCATTATTCACACTCTCTTCCTTTTTGTTGCTCATGTTCATGCACGAGCGGTCTTTGCTCACTTTATGGTATATACTTTCCCGTCTACAAATTTCTAATTCCGCCCGGAACAAAACATTGATACCTTAGTAGGTGTCTAACACGGAGGGCTACACTGTCGATGACTGGGAGTCTGAGATGGCCTTTGCCCTTGAGGCAAAGATTGATGCTTTTGCACTCAATATCGCTGCGGATCAGGATGTGAATACTGCTTCTGTGGCAAATGCTTTCCTCGCTGCTGAAAATGTCGGCTTTTACCTCTTCTTTTCATTTGATTATGCTGGAAATGGCGCTTGGGATAAAGCCGATGTGATCGACTATATCAGCACTTATAACTCCCCAAATGCGTACTTTTATTACAATGATAAACCTTTCGTCTCTACGTTCGAAGGCCCTGCCAACGCAGAAGACTGGGTGGATATCAAGTCAGAAACAGGTTGTTTCTTCATACCAGACTGGTCATCACTTGGAGCCATGGAGGCAATGGAGCAAGCTGATGGTGTCGCTGATGGGCTGTTTAGTTGGGCTGCCTGGCCAGATGGTCCTGCGGATATGGATACATACACCGATGCCTCCTATATAAACTACCTCGAGGGCAAGCCCTATATGATGCCTGTCTCACCGTGGTTTTTCACTAACCTGCCGGGTTATGACAAGAATTGGCTCTGGCGAGGAGACGACATGTGGTTCGATCGGTGGAACCAGGCGTTGTTTGTCGCGCCGGAATTTATTGAGATCATTTCATGGAATGATTTTGGCGAATCTCATTATATCGGTCCGATAAAGTCATCAGATGATTCTCTAGCCAACAAGACATACACTGCCTTTGATATCGGACTGGCGCCTTACAACTATGTCCTCGACATGCCACATGATGGGTGGCGCGATTTCCTTCCCTATGTGATTGAAACATATAAAAACAACATATCTACCATCACCCAAGAAGGTGTAACTGGCTGGTATCGCCTGAATAAAGCTGGAGCCTGCTCCTCTGATGGAGGAACCACTGGTAATACAGCCAGTGAGCTCCAGGTTGAGTACTGGCCTTATGAGATTGTGCAAGACAAGATCTTCTACTCGGCTCTTCTCGGATCTCAGGCCGATATCACGGTGTCCGTTGGTGGCACTGAGCTTGGGGCCTCATGGACCGCAACCCCCAGCGGTGATGTTGGGGTTTATCATGGCAGCGTGTCATTCTCTGGTCATTCCGGTGCGGTGGTCATTACAATTAGTCGCGGTGGAGCTACAATTGCCAGTATAGACGGGCAATCAATCTCGTCCGGTTGCGCTGCTGCTTCTGATATCGAAAATTGGAATGCCTGGGTTGGGAGCAGTATGTCCTCCAGCACGATCAGTGTTACTCCAGCCACATCCCTTTCCAATGAGACATGTATCGAGGGTTGGGGTGCTGGCAATTTTCTCGGGCTCTGCTCCGCGGCCTGTTCTTGGGGCTACTGTCCAATCACTGCTTGTGTTTGTTCCAAACTCGGCCCGCCACCAACTGTACCGGAAGAGACCGGGGTCGAAGGCTATCCGATTCCTGGCGAAGATGCTAGCTACAGTGGCCTGTGCTCGTTTGACTGCAATCATGGTTACTGTCCGAGTACTGCGTGCGGGACGGTCGAAGTAACTCTTACGGTTCCTACAGTGTCCGACTTCGCTGCGAAAGCATGCACCGCCGGTGAGGGCACTGGCGACTTCGTTAGTCTTTGTGCTTTTGGTTGCGCACACGGCTTTTGTCCCATCCATGCTTGCAACTGCACCGAGACTGGGACGCTCGACCTGTTTTCCGTAATCAACAGCAGTGCCACAGCCCATCTGATCTCTGGCGATGACGACTATGGTCTATGCGACTTTGCCTGCGAGCGTGACAGGTGCTATGACCAGTGCGAACTTGGCGATACTTACTCATATAGTGACGAATTCTCCTGTACGGACGATGACACACGGTCCTGGTGCGAAGTGACCTCGCCGTGTAATTATAGCCTGACTATATCTACGCTTGAGGACCTGGACATCCAAAGTGCTTATATGCAGGATGAGTGCATTCCCTACTATATGTTGACCGTGTTGTACAATTTGATCGACGAAGTGGTGGCAAACTATACGGAGATTATGGCCGACAACAACTACAACAAGACCCTGAAGTACTACAAGGAATACGTCGAGAGTAATATCACCTCCACTCTCGCTAGCGTCATGGAATGGGCACCTGCCGGACCGGGCTTGTCTTACTTTGACTGCGTCATCGAATGGAAGGGCAAGAACGAGTCCGCGACAAGCTGTCCCAATTACAGCGCTACTGGAGTTTTCAACGTATACTATGAGGTCAAGAACTCCACGGAATTCGAGGAAATGCTACTGGAGGACTACGGCATCCAGCCCGACTGGTTCAAGTACGGTACCGAGAAGGACTCCTATCTCTGCGATGGAGAGAGTATCCTGGCCCCTTCGTGCCATGACTCTGTTGTCACATATTACAACATACCCAAGAAGGCCGACTATGTCAACATCACCGATCCCCGGGTAGTGGTCGAGAAAGCCCTACCAAATCTGGACAACCTGCAGGCCAACATCCTCGCGGTACAGCTGCAGATCTTGCTGGGATCTTGGCCCGGTTTCACGGACGACATCGTACAGAGTATCTCACTTGCGGTGGAGCTTCTCCTTCAGGCAGTCAGTTCCATGCAAGAAGTCGTGGCAATTGGGAAGGCAGAAGAAGCCTGGAAGAAAAAGGAAATGATTGAGGATATCATCAGCGCCATCTTCCTGGCTATTCCTTTTGTTGGCGAGGCAGACGCTATCAGTGATATATTCCTGGATGTGTCCCGAGTTGCGACAGTAGTTGGAGACACTGCTATTGTGGCTGATAGTATCTATGAGATTGTGGAGGATCCTGACAATCGTGTCGCCACAATTTTGACAACTCTTCTTCTGGTTGGCCAGCGCTCTGCAGAGGAATACGGAACTATGGCCGCAGCCCGGCGAGATATCCCGGATGAGACTATAGAATTTCTTGGGCCGGTCTTCAAGGAGAAAAATACTCAGATCGAGAATCTAGTCAAGGACTGTGCGGCTGCTTAGATATAGACTCATGAGTGAACAGAATGTGTTTTATTAGGACAGATCCCGGGATTGTTACATGGAATCAGCAACAGCTCGCAACCCTTTGAATAGGAGATCCTTTCTATAGCACTAAACCGGTAGCCGAGTCAGACTTGAATCTAGTTGAAACAATTTCTACATAGTCATCCTCCTATGCTTTGTGCCAAGCAGACTCGTCATCAGAAACTTTACTATGAGATCCGCAGTTAGCATTCTAACTTCTTATGCTTCGTTATTCGGACAACTACCTGCAAGGTGTGCCAACTAGTAAGTATTCCCGCCAAAACAATGGCTAACAGGGTGGTATTTGCTACTGCTTCCGCACAAAATGCAGAACTGATCAAAGTTTGCTCCTATAGATATGACCCAGCAGAATGTAATCCTTCGCTTTGTAGTATGATGAGGGATAACTTCCGGATTTCTAACAACATCACTCTATTCACATTCAAGTCCATCATTCAAGAGATATAATAAAATTGTGAATGGGGTGGTGCCGCCCTCCTAAAGCTTTCGGCATTGAGATCAGCCCAACATCTGATGATAGGCAGATCTAGTCTCCGCATGTTAATACACCAGATATGGTCGTGCGCTGAGTATACTGAACCTTTCATATGATAGGTCATTCACTATATCATCACACGTGATACTATATGTGTTACTTGACAATGTCTGAGCGAGATGAAGACCGCAAGTATTTAAGTGGTTCTAACACTGACTGATTACTCACTGTATAGTTGGACTTTCAAGTCCTCCAATAGTTTATCTTTCTCAAAGAACACACCCTCATATTGTCCTTCAATTAGACCCCAGTACTCCAATTGTTCCATTGCGTCTAGACACACATCATCCTTTGCTCGATCGGTATGTTGCTCGACATCTTCAAGATCCACGATGAAACTGTAGCAAGTCATCAGGAATCCGTATGATAAATCAAGGGGGGTCTCGTACCATTGTCCACTTTGGGGCTCCCATATAATATTTTCTCTTCGTGGATCCCAATGAGTGAAATGGCGGGACTGCAGTTCCCTGTAGGTCCGTTAGCAGGGCTCTAATTCGGAAATGTGTCCACCTCGGAGTCTTCTGTCCCGGAAGTTATAGAACATGCATACCATAACGCTTCAATGAAGGCAATTCGAATACGGTTTTGCTCCTCTCTTGGAAGTTGTCGAAGCCATGTAGATTCTCCCCAGGAACCTTCTGCATCACAATATATGCAATGTACCCACCTGGTAATTCATCGCTAGAGTCTTGTCTTTTGATAGCGTACCCAAGAAGCTTAGCTATCCTCCTGCAGTCTTCTAATTGCGATAGATTATATATTTCGCGGTACACACCGTCACTAGGCTCGGAATACCTATGGTTACTCCAAAACGTGATTCTACTGATGTTAGTCCAATTCGTTCCTTACTTTTGGCCCTATCTGTATTTCAATCAACAGTGTAAACATACTGCTTTTTGACTTTTATGACATCGGGCGTATTGAGAGGTTGATCAACTCTTGTAGCTTCAAAATCCTCATGTCGCTCATACGTAAAGCCACCTTGTGGGTCTTCCTGCTTCCGAATCTTGCTTGAGAGTTTTCTGCCGACTTTCCAGGCCCCGAGTTCAAAGTCTATTCGAGTATCAAATTGTGGTTTGTGACTATAAGTACTGGAAGCCATGGTTGTCGCTATCAAGGCGGTAATAGTGGGAACTCTGAGAACAGGGAGAAATCCGAAACGACCAACAACGTCACGTGGTGTTGTGGCCTTATTATTTTCGATTAGGGAAACGTTGTATTCTCTTTATGGTCATTCACAACGAGACAATGAATAAATGGTATTGTTGCAGTCATAAATTTGGCTGCTTCTAATATAAGGTACATATTATCATGCATCGCTGGCTTAGAGAACATAGATGTGGACATAACACTCATTAACAACAACAAATATATATCAAAACAGGGAATTATCACCAAGACTTCAAGATAGCAACGTCACTGTTTTCCCTGTCCCTCAACGTCTGTCATGAACAGTGCAATCCGAGATCAGAAGGTCTTAGCTAACAATTTGGCTGTCTTGCTTGGCTTTCACGAGGCATAGTAGTGACCAGAAGGATGGGATGAAGAGGGGTGATATTACCCATTTCTCGTCCCTCTCGTAAGTTGTCGTATGCCATATCTCTGAACTGGCTCTCATAAGCTCTACACCATGTTCTCCCCAAAAGCTGTCAACGGGATACCTACAGTTGACATTTGAGTCTGACCACGACTCATGTGACTTCAGCTAGCGCCCGGGCATTGGGTGAGTCTCACTCAACAGCTTCACACACCTTAAGCTCTCCGTTTCGACTTCAACATCAACCATCTTCAAATACTTCGTCCTTTCTATCAGCCGAATCCTCCAAAATGGAAAGGAAAAAATGGAGAATGCTAGGTAAGAAAACCAACCCTTCATAACCCACATATCTTAATTAGACCCTCACCCAATTAACAGAGAACAACCCCGACGTAATGAACCAACTAGCAGCAAAGCTAGGCTTATCGCCAGAGCTACAATTCTACGACGTATATTCCCTAGACGACCCATCACAGCTTACACACATTCCCCGACCTGCTCTAGCTCTATTGGTGATCATCCCACTTACACCAGCTTGGGACCAAAATCGCAAGGCCGAAGATGCTGACAAAGAAGAACCCTATCCTGGCTCCGGCCGCCCTGATGAGCCCGTCATCTGGTTCAAGCAAACCATCGGCCACGCGTGTGGCTCAATCGGTTTGCTCCACAGCGTGATAAACGGCCCGGCTGTTAACTTTATCAAGCCTGATTCCGATCTCGCGGAGATACGCAAGCAAGCTATACCTCTGGATATGGACAAACGCGCTGAGATGTTGTACAACAGTGAGGCGTTTGAAGTCGCTCACAAGTCAGTCGAGCAGGCTGGTGATACCGATGCGAATTTATTGGATGAGCGTGATGGTGGTCATTTTGTTAGTTTTGTTAAGAGTGGTGGGAAGCTATGGGAGCTGGAGGGGTCGAGGAAGGGACCTCTGGAGAGGGGAGATCTTGCAGAGGATGAGGATGTTCTTACTCCACGGGCGCTTGATATGGGTATCAAGAGGATTATCAATTCGAATGCGGGTGAAGGAGGAAGTCTGCTCTTCAGTTGCATTGCTTTGGCTCATAGGGCCTAGAGCCATGCTTAATGCTCAATTGATATACTGTGTACGGAGTACTACCGCGATGACTGTTATCTGCAATCTTATTGGTGGTGGAGTCCCGCCTCTGCTCTAAATGATGACTAATACTCACCTCGGCTGTCGCCGGCTCCACCAGCAAAGTCAGTTAGCGCAAGCGAGGACCCACTGGGAAGGTATAAAAGGCGGCTTCCCCCCCAAAGATTTTGAAAATCAAGCGACTCTACGTTAGTTTCCCTCCCCCCTACATTGGGATGATCCCACTGGAGACACATTTGCTAACCACCTTTTTGCCTACAGTTCAAAGAATCACTTTAGAGTAGACGTCCCACCTCTGAGCTCTTCTAAAGAGCCACAGAATCTCCACCCTTGCTGATGACTGCTATGTCCTCGATGCCCTAAAGTGAAGCCGTTTTTTACTTCCGACTCGACTTCGCATTTGCACGCTCTGTTACGATCTGTCGTCAGATGGACTTGTTTCGGGTGTCGGTGCCATGGTCCAGGGAGTGGTGATGATCTTTACCTTGTCATGATGTCTTGACTTCGGTCGGTCGGACTTGGTGGGTGTCGAGGAGGTCTGAAAGGTGTTTTCTCTTTTTCTTTGTTTTTTTTTTCCCATCATATTTTATTTCTCTGTTTTCGGGAAAATAAAATGGAAAAGATTATTAAGAAACATTCAAACCCCTTCACGTAATCATAATTGGTTGCCTTTTTGATCGTGTCATTACCCATTACCCGCACAAAGCGAAAAGAATTTCCCCGTCAGTCCATGTGTTTCTGTAGCAGGACAGGCACCGCATTGTGTCAACACCTCCGTCATCGCAGTGGTGGGTCCATCTCTCAAACTGTGAGAGCCCTTCGTCCATATCATCCAGGCAGTCTTTGATTCGGATCTGCTGGGCCCGAACAGGTCTACTCGTACGTTGGCATGTCATCGCAGTGTTGACAAATAAGTGTATCTACCTCTAAACTATGTTTCTGACATATTTGGGTCAAACAAAGTGGGCGACCATATACAGGAAAAACAAAGACACTCCAAGAAATATTGGAACATGCTACCAAATTGCTCCGTGCCGGAGTAACTAGATCTAATTCTAAATAACTAAAGTAGAAGAAGACAAAGGCAAGGCAAATAATTATTCAATTATTTGTGACTACTAAGGATGCTTTCTACCTAGGCATAAGGAAAGCAGAGGGCCGATTGGGTAGGCCCGTTGCATTTTCCTCCGTTAATAAGAACTCGTCGCTCGTGGGGGGTTTGTCCTTAAGGATCGAAGACATGCCAGCCGTATTTTGGGTTCCTGACCTCTCTGCAGCTGGATGAGTGCAATCATGCATGCGGTATGTTCTCGCGTCCTGAAACTCTTCTTTGCAGAATCTGCACAATAAAGCTATCTTCCTGCGCTTGGAAGGAAAAGCGTGCATTTCCCTTGCATGTTTTTCATGGGTATCTGCGATGTGCTTTTCGAGTTGCCTCTTTAAACCGAACCTAATAGTCGCTCTGTAACATTGCGGAAAAGAGCATCCAAAAGGCCTGTCGTGCTTGCTCAGATGAGATTCTCTTTGCTGAGGAGTTTCAAACCCTTGATGGAAGAAATCACAACTCATCCTAGGGCATTTATAGAGATTCCGGCCGTAGAAAGAGTACAGTACTCTCGAGTCAATCCTCCCACTGCCCAAGTTCTCTGAGACAGCTCTCTCTATATTGTCTCTGATGCGGGAAATGACGTCGGGTATATTGAGACACGCATTAGAGGCGGCGTCCTGAGTGTAACAGTTGATCTGACTCTGCGCAGAGATAAAAGCATGGAGGAATTTCTCTGCAGCAGACCAAGGGCCATGCTCTTCAATTCGCCTCCTTAATTCGTGTGCAGAAGGGGGGATGTTGAGATCCTTCGTAGGGCGCCGGTAGTGCGACTCTAAGAATTTCGACAGAACTCCGATTAATGTCAAAGCATCCTCCCGATCCTTGGTGCCCTTGAGACCCTCCTGAAGATGGAAAGACCAGAAGCAGACTGCATAGTCTAGAAATGCATAATATCCAGTGCTTAGGAGGTCTGAAACGGACTCATCCGGCAGGATTATCTCAAATCCTGGTAGGGCCAGGTAGCCCACACAAAGAGAAGCCATATTCAACTCCACTTGTCCGACGTCAACGAAATTTGCCCGGATGAGGTACCTAGTGGCAGAAAATGTTAGACACGAGCCAATCAACTTATAGAAAGCGAATTGAAAAATAAAGACAAGGAAAATTAGATTAGAGAAACGTACTGCTTGGCAGTTGCATGAACAAGCTCAAGAGTACCATCGGTCTTTACTTCAACTAGAGAATCACATAGATCTCTGGAGTCAAGAATCCAATGACGACTTTCGAAATCGACATCTTCGCCTTCAAGGTCAATGGATACCGCGCCCTGGATCTCCCGCCATTTAAGTCGACGTTTTGCGCATACAAGCCAGCCGAGCAGCTGAAGCGAATGAGGTCGGGAAGACTGGTCTTCAAGAACATTGCTCAAGATCCTGTGGTATCTGCATCCCCCTACTGGATCAGCCGTAAAGTCCTTATACGGAATATAACAACATGAGACTCACGCCTGATCAAGTTGTGTAGGTATTTCCTTCATGTTCAACTCCTTGTAGAAATTGCCTGGTGAGACTTGACAATAAAGATTGTTCATAACAAGCTTTGCGAGAAGGAACATTCCTGATTATCACATTTGTTAGGAAGGGATTACTCTTCTCACACAATTCGATCAGAACTTACCGCCCGCCTTTCCCATGACAAGCTCAACCATCGTTTTGGTGCTTTCATCACTAATCTGGAACTTGGTTTGAATCTCTGAACCTCGCGACCATAGGAATGCAAGAATATCATCTCGTGTATGCTTGGGGGTAATTTCCAAGCTTGGAATATCACGTAAAGCCTTGGAGGTGATCCCGTCCCTTTGTGACACAAGAAGACAGATTGTGGAATATGAATTATCACGATTCTGTGGATGTTCGCTTATCAGACAGATCCATTCAAGGATCTTCTTCCTTTCCATTCTGCTGCACTCATCTAGCCCATCGAGGATGATGCAAACATGTCCGGAATTCCTTAGTATTACCTCAAGTAGCTCTTTGGCTAATATCTCTGATGAGAATGATCGCTTACCTTTGCGGCACATCTCTTCGAAGACATAAGGTAGCAGATCGCTATTATGTTCGAGCAGCTGCGAGATAAGACTGGACGCAAGATTGAGGAAGGAGCTTCTTTGCGCATCACCATTCCTAAAGTAGAACCAAGCCGTATATTCATAGCTCTTGAGGCAGTCTTCAACCATTATCGAAGCTAGGATAGTCTTCCCTAGAGCAGAAGAATCAGCGGAGTTTGGTTCAATGTAAGCCATTGGGGTAATACCAGCTCCTGGAATTCCATTGACCCAGAGCATCGGCTGCGCCTTTCTTTCCTTCCAAGAGCAGTAAAGTTGGTGACGCAAAATCCAAATTCCAGCTTGTGTATTGCGACTTCGCACGCTCGTGAAAGTATCCTGATCACTTGCTATGTCTGCACTATTCAGCCAATATTGAATATCTCTCAGCCGACCTATTTCCTCGTTCTTTTGCAACTTTTTCAGTGCTTCCGACGATCTGATCCCTTCTGAGCGGATATTCTCAAGTTGTGCGAAGGTTAGCCTGTCACCAAACACCTGTTTATGGCGTTTCAAACTGTCGACAACGGGTCCGAACTTCGCTTTATAGGTAGACCAAGTAGCCTGAAAAACCTGCTTCCACACTTGAAGAGATCAACGATCCATACTCGACTGGCATCTATTAAATGCCTACTTACTGGGCTTCCTGAAATACGCTAGCGCGGTTTGATGAAACTCGAAAATATCCTGAAACATAGACACCAAAGCTTGTTGAACAAGATGGTTACCATCGATAAGTTCATTGCAATTTTCTAGAAGCTCTATGCTTTCTCCAATGACTTTATAAGTATCCAGTAGCTCGTTGAAAGCTTCAGACACAGAGCTAGCGACCTGCATTATCTCAGCAGCGGCGCGGTTTGATGCCTTGAGATAGGCCATACCTGTAACAAAAACTTCATTGGCCCCTGTTTGACCACGTAAGCAGGTCTAATTGTATAGAACCAGATGGGACTGATAAATACCCAAACAAATGCCAGAAGGTTAGTCGTGTTCAGCAATATTTCAATTACTTTACCATGTCTCTCCATTATATCAACGAATTTGTAGAGTCGTCGCATATTCTGCATTCGTCTTTCCGTGGCTTGTTTCTTTTCGATCTTCGCTATAGAGCTCTTAAGGGCCGTTAGAGAAGTCATCTCAAACTCCGCCACCAGTCCAGGACCTGACTGAGTTTTGAATAAATCCAAGGCCTGCTGGAAGCAGGTTGATCCTTCTGTGGCCATGACTTTCGACGTTTTCTTGGTAGGTAGACAGAAGTGTCGGCACCTGCTGCCTTTTATTGGAACAAGGCTGTAGTCGCATGGCGGGTGCGGCTGAGGAAGTTAGGCAGCAATGTGGCAGTGCACCAGCAAATCGATGCGTCAAGTGGCCAACTGGCGATCATATCACTAGTGACAAGGATCTTCTGAGAGCTGCGCCTTGCTGAATCGTTTACTCATAAGCAGAGCAGCGAGAATGGCTTCTCCCTGTTACACAGGGGAAGGAACAATAATTGGAGACCGCAGCCTTTACTTCCAAGGTTTTTTTTTTCTTGATACACTGAGGGCGACAGATGGCAGAAGATCAGGTTCTTCGGGGCACCAAGAGGAAACACCCCGCTGACGGTACCGAGGCTGCCTGCAATGAACCCTACTCTTCTGCGGTCCGCAAAATCGACCAGGAACGCTGTCATTACGACGATCCCGGTCTAACAAACGGAAACTATTGTACTGGCCAGCAGCAAAGCTCCGAAGAAACGAAAGGTCAACATTTGCAGTTGCTGTCGCATGCCCATGGCGACCCTGTACCAGACTCCTTGAACTTGGGAGGGCAGAGGGACAAATCCCTAACAAAGGAAGAAGATACAGAGGTCTGCTTTGGATCTGTACGTACCTTCTTGAGTTTATATGTTCGATTGCTTACCTAAAGAGATCTGTGATATCCATGCGCGGTTCATCGATGGCCCCCCTTCAAATTGCAACTATCTTTCTGCAAATGCAGTCGAGAGCGACGAGGAGAAGCTCGAGGTTCTTCTGGGTTCTGAGTATTGTGTGATATGCTCCCCATTGAGAGATGGTATTATTGGCTTCATCAATTTGGGGGTTTCCAACATACTGAAACGACTATTTGAAATTGAAGGAACCAGACTGGAAATTTCTCTCTCTCTCTCCGAGTGGAAGTCTGGGACACAGCGCCACTCATCCATCGCCTGGGAAACAAATGTCGAGATCGCAATTTTTGGGGCACGGAAGAATGCTTTCCTTGTTGGTGATTGCTTATCCTCTGGAACTCTGTTCCTCCAAGATCCAAACATTCCTTGCGATCTGCCATACGAGAATCCCCATAGGTTTCCTTTCGTAGGTGATTTCCAAGACAATTCTGACAACGAATCATCTGAAGTGGACGACAATGACACCCTTTCGATCAACAAACTGGTACCTACTTCCGCCAAAATCTCTACAAAACGTTTGGAACATATCATGGATACTTTGCACGAGCACGACTACCTCCAGGAAGTTCAACCTGACAAGAATTTGAATATATCCCTTTTTTCGTATGTATTCATACTTTGGTCAATACTTGCCTAGATTAACGTGCTGTGCAGTCACCAAAAGGAAGCCATTGATTTCATGATACGCCGAGAAACTGGCCGATCAACCTCTTCTATTTCCCTCTGGAATATTCGAAAGGATAAGAACGGCAACCCACAGTAAGGAGCCACCACGAGCTATTTGCCTTTTCCTTGCTAATATAACCCCTTCAGTCATTATCATGCAATTACAGGTGACTCCAGTATTGAGCTTCCAGTTGGACCGTTGGGTGGTATTCTTGCGGACACGATGGGCCTTGGAAAAACAGTGACAACTTTATCAACCATTCTTAGCACCCTTGGTCACTCGGAAGAATGGGTCAAAAAAAGAACTAACTCTCAAGTATCTGGGACGAAGGGTACAAAGGCCACACTAATTGTTGTTCCAAATGAAGGTAAGATGATATCTTAATCTACAATTCGATACCATTCTTGAAACTTATTATGAAAGCGTTGATGGAGCAGTGGCTCGATGAGATCCGCAGGTCGGTTGTCTGCGTACCCCAATGATACTTGTTGGATATAGGTCTGATTTTCATAAGCAAATTTAAACCCGGAACATTCGAACACTGCAAATATCACGGTCCATCGCGCAAAGCCTCTATACACACTTTCGAGGAATTCGATATTGTCTTGACAACATACGGAACTATCAGCACGGAGTTCGCTGAGAAGGAAAGTCCGATTTACCAGACTGACTTCTTTCGCATCGTTCTAGATGAAGGTATGGTTCGAATTAATAAACAGCCTAAACATTCTTACTAACAAACTAATGTCTAGCCCACAACATAAAATCGCGGTTCACGAGGATCCATGAAGCGGCGTGTAATATTTCGGCAGACAGACGCTGGTGCCTTACTGGGACCCCAATACAGAACGATCTCGATGATCTCGGTGCCCTTGTTTCTTTTCTTCGTGTCCCATTACTTGAGAAACGAGGAGTTTTCCGAAATCACATCATCAAGCAAGCCTACAATATAGGCAGCGACCGCTTTGAAAACGTCCGTTTATTGCTTGGCTTTATATGCCTTCGTCGATCAATGAGCCTTGGAATGCTTGTGAAACCAACGATCATCAATCTGGAGTTGAATCTGGCTCCGGAAGAAAGGGAAGCATACATTAACATATTGGACTATCACAATAGACTCATTGATCTCTCAGTCAGCAAAGGGGGCTCCGTGGGTGCGTTCCAAACAGTTCTGCAGCTGCGAATATTCTGCAACAATGGGCTTTACAGAAAGAAGGACATCCGAGCCTCCCCTACCGATCTCCTTACTTCTGAAGAGTACTTGGATTTTCTGCAAGAGAATCATGGACCTCCGTCTCTTGGTACTGACAATGAAACTCTACTTCTTGGCTCATACGAGATCTCAGACTCTAAAACCTCTCATGAATCTTCTAATTCGATCGGCGAAGCTTGCAGAATTTCCCTACAAAGCCGTAATATGCTGGACCTGACAAAGATAGAAGGTCCTACGTCGGAGCTATTGCACAGTCCTAATCTATTTCGGGAATCTTTGACCCCAGACTACTTATCTCTGGTCGATCAGTCTCCGCAAGCTCTCGAAGGGACGTTCTCAACAAAACATCAGGCCATTCTGAAGACTATTCTTGGCCATGTTCCGCAAGAGAAAGGGTATGCCTAAATGCCTAATTATCTACCTGGCTTCGCTAACCTTGCTCATAGAATTGTCTTCTCAGCCTGGACCAAGAGCCTCGACATCATGGCGGAGCTGCTACGCCAGTACGACATTACCTTTGCCCGAGTAGACGGTTCCATGTCGTTTTCGCAGCGTCAGCAAGCATCTCAAAGCTTCAAGACCAACAGCGACGTGAATATACTTCTGATGACTATTGGCACTGGTGCAGTTGGGTATTTATTCCTCTTCTGAAATTGTCTTTACGTGCAACATAGTTGATATTTTAAGCAGACTGAATCTCTCCATCGCCACACGGGTGCATATCATGGAACCTTCGTGGAATCCGATGGTCGAGCAGCAAGCGATTGGTCGCGTTGTTCGTCTCGGACAAAAGCGACCGGTGGTGATTACTCGGTATATCATGAGGGATACTGTTGAAGAGGTAAGCTCATTTTCTTTTCGCAATATGCCTTCGACAAACATATCACTAACCTGCTTTCAGAGCGTAGTGTCTCGCCAAGACTTGAAGCTCGACGTCGCTATGAGTGGTTTTGAGGGGAGTTCTCACGGAGTAACTGGTGATGCTGTATAAAGATGAGAAGTACTGTCTGTCAATATTATGACATGCTTCGTGTGTCTCCTTATTTTGTTGGATAGACGAAACTTATCAGGTTGAACGGTTTCCTTCACGAAAAGCTCGGACTACAAATGGACCTGGATATAACCTATAGTTCTCTTATATAGACTGCGGTTTAGTTAAGGCGACATTCGGTTGTTGTACTTGGATATATTGACAAAGAACTGATGGGCTGGAATGACTAGGTATGTCTGCATGAGTTCTCAAGCGAATACAGTTACACTTGATCTACTAAAGTGTAATTAGAGAAAGGGAGAGTTTTTGCTGCAGTACTATGTGAATCGAATGCATCGCTAGACATTGTCAATTGTAGAATCATTGGCCGAGGAACTTGTACTTCAGCGTCTCATCTGCCCGCAACCCCGTGACCGTGACTGTCTGAACATCGCCAGGAACAATATCCATCGCGCTATCACCAAATTTGACACCGTCACGTTCCTCGAACACAAGGCATTTGACCGGCCTCTCGGTGCTGATCTGGAACACCTGCTGATCAGAGGCTTCAGAAAGCCTCTTTACCTCAAGTCCACGATCCGCAAAATCAAGATACTTGAAAGGCTGAGGCCAATCCACGTCTCGTGCAACAATTTTATCATCCACCCATAGTCGGGCGGCAAGGACGTGTGGTTCTGCATCAATGGTGTGGTCGATGATCCCGTCGGTGATAAGGTTTGTAGTGCCATTGGGCACTATGTCGACGTTTTCTCGCACAATCCGCTCCCGTATCTCTCGTCCGTTGTCCACGGAGAGGAATCTGAGCTCCACCTTTCCGGACACGGTCTTCTGTAAGGAGCTGACTACCCAGAGCTCATACTTGCTTGTCTTTGGAGGTTGCGCGTGTGTGATGCTCCAGTCGTGATGTTCTCGTCGTACACCTACGGCGACTGGATTTAATACACGGGCTACAGCGTAGTAGGCAGGCTTGGGCCGCAGGAAGTAGTCCACAATGGCCCAAGAGATGGTTGGCCAGCAATCATTCAGCTGCCAGAGCAGTGCGCCGCCACAGTGTCTTTCGTCTCCCCATTGGCGACGCCATCCACGGTATCCGAACATCATTGTTTCGGCTTGGACAACCTGGGTGAGGTAGATGTAGGTCTATGTTGGACGG